AAAAATAGCTATATAAATTAGCCAAAATACAAAAAAACTAATAATAATTTTAAAATAATAATTGTAAAAATTTTGTTTTTGTAATACAATATATAATATGTAGTAGATATTTAATAGATTGCTGTGATTTTGCATGATATTTATAACAATCTATTAAATATCTGTTTTATCTCCTGGATCCTAATATCTGTGATTTTCCTACTGATATTTTCTTTTTACAATTTTCTTAAAAATGCCAAACCAATGGCAAAAAAAAAAAACTTTCATAATACACCAGTTCCTATTTTTACTAGTACATGTAATTATATCTCTAAAAATACTTCTGAAGAAAGTACTTCCTTAAATACTAATACTAATATGATGCCAAGGTCCGAATTAGAACAAAAACTAGATTTTTACAGGAAAAAAGCTGTTGTTTATAATATGGAAAAGTCTACACAAAACTGGATGAGGAAGTTTGAAGAATTTCGAACCAAGTATAATTATGTTACACCACTTGAATTGATCGAAGATCTTTATCTTATTGAGCAACAAATATGTGAATATGTTGTACAAATAACAAAAAAAGGTGGTAGTGAATACAAGGCCACAACAATTAAGCAGACAATTAACAGAATTAATAGATATCTTAGTAAAAATAGTACAATTCGTAGATTTAATTTGCATGATAAATATTAATTTCTGAATTTGTATGATATTTTAAATGGTAAAATGAAAGATTTACATGAGAAAGGGTTGGGTAAAAAAGAAGAATCAATGGCATTAACTGTTCAACAAGTAAGAGAGATTTTAGATGATAAATTCTTGAATCCCAAAACACCTCAAAGCTTACTGTATAGAGTTTTTTTTCGTAATGCAATAATTTTTGCATGTCGGAATAGAGAGCATTATATGCTTCAGATTAATTAGTTTCAAATTCAATCAGATAATAGTGTTTTATTTTATCGATATCATAGTAAAAATAATTAACGAGGAATTCAAGGAGATGATGTACAACAAATTCATCTACTATCTGATTCACCTTGTACTTTTGGTCCTGTCAGTGATCTTGTAAATTATATTTCTAAACATCCTTCTGATGCTCCCAGCAATTTTTATTTGCACCCAAATCTAAATTGGTGAGATACTGGCATTTGGTATACCAAAACTTATTATAGCATAAACAGGATCAGAAATTTTATGAAAGATATCAAGCAAAAAATAAAGGTAAAACTTCCAGAAGGAATTTTAACAAACCATTCTGGAAGAAAAACAGCTACTCAAATTCTTCAAGATGCCAATATATTAGAAAATGCCATTATAAATGTCACAGGTCATAAAAGTATACAGAGGGTATGTGCATATCAGCATATTAATAAACATCAACAAATTAATATGATGAAAACTTTGGTTAGTACAATTGAGCCATTAAAGAATTCAAACAAGATAAATCAAGTTGCATCTGCTGAATTTAATAGATCTCATGATAACATTAATGTTAATATCAATACTATCTCTATGCAAGATATAAACATGATACAAGGAGAATTTCAGAATTAGCGTTCTATTTTTAATAATTGTCATTTTATGAATATTATATTTCATTTTTAATATGGTACTAGTAGGCAGAATTATTGTATCAGGTAAATTATAGAAATTAACAATTCTTAATAATACAATATCGAAATATATGAAGGATTAAGGCTAATTACTGATAGTAATAATATAGTATTTTA